ACTGGTTGCCTGCACAACCGCAACGTATCCGCCAGAAATTAAAAGACTTTTTCAGGCGCCATCTTTTAGTCAAGTCGAGAAGTAAGGGAATCAGACAATAGAATTGTCTGGTATGAAGAAGTACGCTTTCCGAGAATTGGGGAAATTTCGAGAAGCAGTCAATAGAGTATATAAGCCGGAGCCATCGACAACTGAGACAGTTTTGAAATGTGAATATACCGCGTGAAAATTGAAAATCGGACAATTTGGTGAAGGAATCTTATAAATAGTTAGTTTGTTGTGTGTTATAAGTTAGTAATTGTGTATAAAGTGAGAAAATAAATTCGTTAAGTATTTTATCGTGAGTTTAAATTAGTGGACCCACGGAATCCGTAACAATTGGTGTCGGAAGTGCGATTCAAGAGGATTTTAAGAAGAAATTAAGTGGATTGGAAGATTTTTAGACCGAATCAGAGTATTTTTATGGTTGGTACAAGGGAGCAATCGAGGAAAATGGAGGAAGTAAGCAAATTATTGGGCGATTTTATGGAGAATATGCGAAGAGAGAAAGCAGAAGAACAAGAAAAACTGCAGAAAATGCTTATGGAAAATCAAGAAATTAGACAAGAACGGTTGGAGAAAATTGTAGAAAACCTAGAAGTGCGTCGCCAGAAAGAAAAAAAAGAAGAACAGGACCGGCTTGAGAAAATTTTCGGAGATTTGAAAGTTCAACGACAACAAGAAAAACAAGAAGAACAGGACCGGCTTGAGAAAATTTTCGAAGATTTAAAAATTCAACGACAACAAGACAAACAAGAAGAACAGGACCGGCTTGAGAAAATTTTCGAAGATTTAAAAATACAACGACAACAAGACAAACAAGAAGAACAGGACCGGCTTGAGAAAATATTAGGAAATTTGGAAATTCGTGTGGAGGAGCGACGTCACAGGGAAAGACAAGAAGATCAGGACCGTCTTAGGAAAACTTTGGAAAATCAGGAATTTCGACTACAGAAGAATTTTGAAGACCTGGAAAAACGACAGGAGAACCATTTCCAAGAAGTCGTAGAAGATCTGGAAGAACGCCTTCAGCAGAAAATGGAAAAATTGGAGATGGACCTACAGAAGACCAAGGTACAAGTAAGGACACCTGGCGTTTATGGAACTGCGAACCTCAAGGCCCCGACCTACGATGGACAAACCACCTGGACGATGTACCACCGCCAGTTTGAAGCAGCCGCCGCTGCCAACGGATGGACCGACCAGGAGAAAGCAGCGGCACTTGTCATCGCGCTGCGTGGCCCTGCCCTGGAACTGTTGCAAACTATTCCTGCAGCCCAACAGCAGGAATACCAAACTTTGGTCGCTGCACTGGACAGAAGATATGGCGACCAACATCGACGTCAACTTTACCAGGCCCAGATCAAGACACGCCTGCAGAGGTCCGAGAGAGTCTGCAGGAATTTGAAGCAGACTTACGTCGGCTGGTACACCTGGCATATCCAGAAGCACCGGAAGGATTTAGGGAGGAACTCGCTGCTCAGTGCTTTATCAGCGGACTGAGGGACAATGAATTACAGAGGGCGCTGCAAATATCGCGATTTTCTACCAGCAGCGAAGTACTCGTCCGGGCGCTGGAAATAGAAGCTGCATTTAGCGCCATTCCTAAACAGAAGATAGGCTCGGTAACGGTTGAGGAACAGCCAAAGAGTTCTCACATACGTTTGGAGGAGATGTGTAAGAAAGTCGACAAACTATGTGAGCTACTAATAAACAAGGGAGTCAACAACACCCAGACAGAGAACCAAAGAAGATTCCAGGATATGAGGTGCTATAGATGTGGCAGGAATGGCCACATCAAACGGGATTGTCGCATCCAAATGCGATTCCATTCACCATCCAGAGAACATCGGCACATCGGAAGATCCCAGGACATAAGTTGCTATAGATGTGGCAGGAATGGCCACATCAAACGGGATTGCCGCGTCCAAATGCGATTCCGTTTACCATCGAGAGAACATAGGCACCAGGAAATCAACACTAATGAGCGAGTATTGGCTGAAGAAAACAGAGCCCCTAGGATGTTTTCCGTTAGGAGTCTAGGAAAAACCGCTGACAGTTTGGTGATCAACGGGAAGGTCAATGGTAGAAGAATTCGAATGACTGTGGACACAGGTATGGACCACAGTATGACTGTGGACAAAGCTATGGTATCGTTGGTGCGGACTAACTCGGTACAAGGATTGAAGATGATGCCTCTTAGAAGAAGAGTGTATTTACGTACAGTTACGGGGGAAATGGCCGTTGTACGGGGAGAGGCTTTCATGGAATTGGAGTTAGGGAATTTGAAGTTTTGGCATAGCGTTTTGGTGGCTGACATTGAAGATGATTTTATCATGGGTATGGATGTGATCAGTCAACATGGTTTTCGTTTGATCACCATAGAAACATCCTGAAAATCGGAAATGAGGAATTTTCTGTATCTAAAGAGAAGAGACCAGGAAATATGGAAGAAAGATCATCGAAAATTGTGATGATACCTGGTGATACCAAGAAGACTGTGTTCGGGAAACTAGAGAAAACCGCTGGGTGCCGTGTAGGACGGGTACAAATTATCGACAACGACCTAGATCGACGACGAGCTACCTTGGACAAGAAAATGAAACATCGCGAAAGCACTATCAGAATAAGGAATTTTAAGCTTAGAACTGACGAACCATGGACGACGATACAATTGAGGAAAGATCAAATGGAAGATCCAGACATCGGAGCAATACTACGGCTCAAGGAAGGTAACGGCGAGAGACCACCGTGGCAGGATATTGCGGACAGAGGGGCTCGTTTTCAAAGCTCTCTGGGCTCAGTGGAATTCACTGGTGATTGAGAATGGATTGTTAAAGCGCACGTGGGAAAGTGCGGATGGCAGGACAGTAACAACTCAGTTACTGGTACCAAGGAAGAAAGTTACCCAGGTATTGGAAGAAATTCACGGTGGTAAAACTGGAGCCCATCTTGGGGTAAACAAGACCTTGAGCAAGCTGAGAGATCGCTTTTACTGGGTGGATTATTGTGAAGATGTTAAGAAATGGTGTCAACGTTGTAAGATTTGCGCAGCTAGACAAGGACCAAGTACTCGATCTGGAGGAAAAATGGAACAAGATAACGTTGGACGGTCGTTCGAAAGAGTCGTTAGGAAGGAAAGATTATTGGGAATTCATAAGGCCGTGAGAAGTAAGATTACGCTAGCCAGTGACCGGATGAAAGCTCGTTACGACCTCAGAGCTAATTCTACGGGATTTCAACAGGACGATAGAGTATGGTTGTATAATCCACAGCGCAAGAAAGGAAGGTCCCAAAGTTAACTCCAGCATGGGAAGGTCCTTATACAGTCATCAAGAGGATAAATGATGTAGTGTACCGGATTCAACGCAGCCCTAGAAGTAAGATGAAAGTAGTTCATCTGGATCGATTGAAGAGATATCAGACAGGAAACCTTGATCGGGACGATCAAATTTGAGAAGGGGCAATGTCAAGAAAAATGGCCTATCCGCCAGAAATTAAAAATGTATTACTGGTTGCCTGCACAACCGCAACGTATCCGCCAGAAATTAAAAGACTTTTTCAGGCGCCATCTTTTAGTCAAGTCGAGAAGTAAGGGAATCAGACAATAGAATTGTCTGGTATGAAGAAGTACGCTTTCCGAGTGGGAAATTTCGAGAAGCAGTCAATAGAGTATATAAGCCGGAGCCATCGGCAACTGAGACAGTTTTTGAAATTTGAATATACCGCGTGAAAATTGAAAATCGGACAATTTGGTGAAGGAATCTTATAAATAGTTAGTTTGTTGTGTGTTATAAGTTAGTAATTGTGTATAAAGTGAGAAAATAAATTCGTTAAGTATTTTATCGTGAGTTTAAATTAGTGGACCCACGGAATCCGTAACAGTATTTTGGATCTTTTTAAAATTCTCTAATAATCGGCTGGGGAATGATACTCGATGATAATTTTGACCAGGTCAATCTCTAGACATCAGTTACTAAAAATTGACATAAAACTTGTCAAAAATTAACACTAATTATAGAAAGATTATAAAAGAATAGAACCCCCGTTTTCAGACACACAAATATATTTCTAAAAAAAATGTTTTCTTTTGAATTTTAAACGACACCAATTAATACCGTATGATCGAAAAAAAACGACGTCCAGTTGGCTAGGAAATGACGATCGATGACATTTCCCATATAAATTTACATATAAAATGACAGCGATTTTCATTTCATAGCCATCGTTGACGCCATTTTTTCTCGATCATACGGTAGTATATCATTCAACGAGCATATAATGGTGGCTGTTATTCACGCGGATGAAGTTTATGATCATAAATCATCCAAGTGAATAACAGCCATTATATGCGAGTAGAATACTATACTTTATCCAGGACTAAGAAAAAAAAATAGATAATATTAATAGAAGTTTTTATTTTTAATGTCAAAAAAATATTGAACGAGTATAACGAGTAAGTAACATGGAAACAAAACATTTAAATTTTCTTTAACTAGGTAGCTAACTAATTTAGCTTTAACTAATTAACACAAAAATTATTTATTTACATTAATGGTAATGTAATGTTTGACAGCTCTTGTTTGGAGTTTGGATCGAGATATCCGTGGAAGCGGTGAATAATGAAACCACTATTCACTAGTGAATAATGAATATTATTATTATTTCATAAACTCATGTATAATAATCAAATTATACACGAGTCGTGGATAAAAATCATTTTTACTCAATATAAAAAAATACAACCTTCTTAAGGTCAACTAGCAGTATAAGCGCCATTAAAAAATATAGAATACGGGCCATGTAATGACGTCTAGGGCTTGACCTGCCCAAAATTATCATTGATTGTCATTTCCCAGCCGTCTTTGACGCCGTATTTTTCGTTCGGTATGCTTAAACGATAGAATATTTATATTTCAATTTCAACAAGTCAAAATTTTTTTTTTAGATTATTTACTTACATTCTCCAGGTGTGAACAGTTTGATATCGTGATGTCGAAATTGTTTTCGGGAAATTTTCCTTTTCCATCTTTTTCTTCCGCGAGGCACACCTTCTTTTTCCTTGTCGTTTTCTTCGTTTGGGGAAAGGTTACCTTTCTATAAAAAATCAGATCAATTAAAATACCTATAGCATCTAAAAGATTTTGAAGAAGATATTTGTTTATATGAAAAATGCCAGTATTAGGTATTTAAAATAATTATTTTTAAAATTCTTTGTTTTTTTACTGTTACATACCGGGTGTTTTTCAAAACTGGCTCACCTTTATACCATTTATATTTTTTCAGAAAAAAAAAACGATATTGGTATGTTAGTATATGACATAAATCAGGACTGATTGACGTATTCAATTAGTTTCAGTCACTACCTGTTTTACCGGAAATTACTAAAATTTTTGATTTTTAAATGATGCCCGCGATATTTTTTTATTTCATTCGATGGCGAATGACGTTCTGAATAAAATGACCTATAATACCATGTGACCGAAAAAAAAACGGCGTCCAGTTGGCTTGGAAATGACGATTGATGATATTTCCCATATAATTTTACATACACGGTGTCCCAGAAATAAGTGCAAGTATTTTAAGGGGTGGTAGATCTCGATAAAAGAAACATATTTTCCCTTATCGTTTTTCAAATAAGTCCAAAATAACGGAGTTATTTTACTTTGAATATTTCACTTATGTACAAAAAATCCCATATCAAGCGGGTAATTTTCGACGAAAATTGCCCGCTAAAATCGAAAATTACCCGGTGAAAATTTCCCGCAGAATGTCTAAGTAACAATGACACATTTGTCACTTAGACGTAAATTATTTTTAATAGGTATTCTAAAAATGTCTCGATTTGGACACGATTCTTTAAGTGCAATTGAAGAAAAAGTTGCCGAAAGTAAGCCGAAAAACACTATAATTAATCACCAGTATGTATGGAAACAGTTTATGGACATTATAAAAGATAGAAACTACATTTTGGATGCGAACATCTCAATCTCGGCACCGGTCAATATTTTGACCGATTGGGCATATGAAAAGGAAAAACGGTCATTTTACGGTAAAAACCTTTGAATAAGAAGACTAAGGAAGGAGCATAATGCTATCCATGTATTCATGCATGGTGGGCGAAAAAGCATTCTAGGGTGGGGATCCTTGACAGTTCTGTTTGACGATTCATTTGACACATTTGAATTTGATTTGAAATTTTGTGGATTTGTCAGTCTTTAAGGAGCTTATTTTATATTATTTATTATTTATTCTACTACTGATAGTTGTATAAAGGTAGTAAATCTAGATGGAAATTGTGGCAGAACTTAAATTAGCAGTGACACTATCGCGATTTATCGAAAAAGACTCTAAAATAGTTGGTTGTGTAGCGTGCGGTAGATCTCGGCAAAAATTGAGTGAAATAATGGAACAACTTTTCGCTAGTAAGTGACTATATAATATACATACGTGTAGTAAACCGATCATTTATGAAATTCACTTAAGTTGACTAAATTATATATTTTTCTTGCATTCTAGCTTTTATTTATTACTTGTCAAAGATTAGATGTCAAAGAATTTAGATACGTTAATTTGACTTACCTGCTTCAGTAGCGTATCGGATGTTTATGTTAATAAATACTTCTATTTTTATTAGAGTTATATATTTTTATAACAATTTTAATTGTTATAAACTACCAACATTTATTCGCAACGTAAAATAAAACAACAAATTATTGAGTCTACCCCACGTCTACCCTACATCATAGTTTTACGTTTTTTAAATAAAATTAGAACGACACTGATAAACCGGAATTTAGGTTCCTTAAGAAGGTAAAAACTATTTGGAATGTAACAGTCAAGCTATTAATGGAAAAATACCAAAAAGAATGTAATAAATATTATAAGTTCTGTTTCATTTTATTGCTTCTTTTTTAAATAGATTTTTTTAATATGTTCAAATAAATATTTTTAAAAAATCTATGAATTTTCACTTGTATTTTCATGTTTTTATTCGGGAAATATTCTACCGAATTACACTCGTGCATCAAAATTAACCTGATAATTTTTCATTTAAGCATGTTGTCAATGAAAAACAGCATTCATTTATATTCATATTTTGGAAGAGCCCTCCTCCTTCGGAGTCGGGCTCTTATGGCAAAATATGAATATAAACTCATGCAGTTTTTAGACAACATGCTTTCATGAAAAATTATCGGTAATTTTGATGCACTTGGGTAATTACTTCCGAAAATTTCCAAAAAAAAATATTTTTTGCTAAAATTTTGAGAACCACTGGATCTTTTCTGGATTTTCTTTCTTGTAAATTTAATCTAATACCTATGTTGCCATATTATCAAGAAATTATGTTTTTAAACTAAATATTAAAAAAAATTATTCCAAAAAATTTTGAATTTTCAAAAAAATGTTTTCGCGAAAAAAACCGCAGGCGTGTTTCTGGGGCTCAACTATACTACCAGTTAAAATACTTGCACTTATTTCTGGGATACCCTGTATAAAATGACTGCGATCTTTATTTCATAGGCATCGCTGACGCCATTTTTATTATCTATATCATACGTTATAACATATAACATCGCTTAAAAAAAGTATTTTAAATTTCAATCTAGGGTGTGCCAGTTACAGTACGTCTGTCCGTTCTGTAGCTACGGGGTATCCGTGAGAGGGGAAACGATATTCTCTCGATGTTTTTCGTAAAAAATTAGACGACGCGTCACATCAATAAAAATTCGACAAATTTGCAAGTAGCCAATAAAATGAGTGGGCGGAGCGATTTGGGGTGACGTACTCGTCAAGTCGACGTATAAAATATATTGCTGTTTATTTAAATGTTTTTGTCCGCATTCCTTTCACAGACACTTTATAACAAATATCAGAAGTTGACATATGATATGTCATTCAGAATGTAATTTTCTATGAAATAAAGTAAAAAATATCAAGGGTACTATTTAAAAATCAAAAGTTGTAGACACTTTTGGTGAAACAGGAAGTTACCGAAAATAATATAACACGTCAATCAATCCTAATTTATCTTATATACTAACATACTGGATCTTGTTATTTTTATCTAAAAATAAAATAATGAGTTATAGGGGTGAGCCACACCACAAAATATTTGTTGTCTTTTAACAATGGCTCTAAAACTAGCTTTCAAATAATGATTTATTAGAAAAAATATTGCTTTTATGCTTTTCATTAATAATTTTTGTAACTTCATAAAGTTAAAACAAGCCACAAAAATGAAATTGAAAAGAACTGTAGATTATAAATTATAGAATAGAAATTATAAAAACTATAAAAATAAAAAGAAAAGATACAAGTGCTCAGACTATTGAATTAAGTTTTTGAAAACATAAAAAATACTCCACTGTAATCGGTTATTTAAAAAAAATATACAAGGTGGTCCGAATTGTATTTGGGAAACTTCGGCAGCATATTCTGCAGATAAGAGTAAGTAAAAAAAGTTCGTATAAATGTATTTCTTAAAATGCTTCGCTTCGGTGTGTAGAAGTTTCATTTTTATTTCGTTTTTTTCCAAATATTTTCTGATATTTGGATAGACTAACGTCGATGTTTGGGAAGAAAATTTGTGTCTGCGTGATTTTTCACAAGAGAAATTTGGGGGGGGGGGGGTTCGATGTGAATATGACTCCTACTTGTAGAGCGCGCCACCTACATGGTTTTAACTAATTCGAAGTGTAATAACTTTTCGTCCGTATCTGTATAAAACTAACGAATGAAAAAATATTTCATTTCTGTATTATTTTACGTAAAAAATGTCTCTTGGTAAAAATCGCTACGATGAACCGTTTTCAAGATATTTGGAATGAAAATAGTCAATACATGTCATAATTAACAATAAATAAATAAATAATAAAATAGAAAACACATTTCTTGCAGTATAGGTATATAATAAAATTATATAAGAATTCTTGCCACTTAACTGCTGATATAGAAATTTAATTCTACGCTCTGTTTGTCATAATGTGGATCAACCTGCTCTCACTACCGGTTTCGGAGCCCTACTCCATCATCAGGTGAGCTTGGGCAGATCCACAAAATGACAACCACAGCGCAGAGATAGTTAATTCCGGCTTGTCGGAAAGTGTCGCTTAGATATTAAGTCCCGAACGGGAGATAGCGGCCACCGTACGGGAGATAGTCGTACCACCGAGGCAAAACTATCCATAGTTGAAAGATGGTAAAAGGCTTTTTTTCAGGCAAGCCAAATTATAAAATAGACAACAAATTTCTTGCAGTATAGGTATATAATAAAATTATATAAGGATTCTTGCCACTTGTATATATAAGAAGTTAAGTGGCAAGAATCCTTATATAATTTTATTAAATACATAATGTTGACTAGATGCTTCTTTAACTGAAATGATAAATTTGGTACTTTTTATGTTTTTAAACTAATCATATTAAGTTTTTCTAGAAGAAAATACGATAAAACAGTTTCTGTTGAATCTTTGGCACAAAAACATTTTGAAATTTATTATTTCAGACTAATAACTATCCAGTCAACATGATGTATAATTTTTGTGAATTATGACATGTATTGACTATTTCGATTCCAAATATCTTGAGAACCGTTATTCGTAGCGATTTTTGCCAAGAGACCTTTTTTGTGTAGAAAATAACGCAAATAGGTATAAGTTTTTTCACTTAATAGTGTAATATGGGCACGGACGAAAAGTTATTACTCTTCAAAACAGCTAATTTTTTCTTGCTAGCGAATTTTTCATGTTAAACACAAATTTTAATCCAAATATAGTTAGTTAGAGTTAGCTCAAAAATTATTTCGAAAAATTCGAAATAAAAATGAAACTTCTACACCCTGTATCTCCGAAACGAAGCATTTTAAGCATTTATAGGTACTTAATATTTAAGCATTTATACCTACAAACTTTTTAACTTATTGTTATCTGCACAATATTAAAGAAAGTTTCCCGAATACAACTCGGACCACCCAGTATATAATTTTATTAATTATTATTAATTAAAGTAATTTTCCATTAATATTACCTATTCTAGTATGTACCTGTTTTTCTGTATTTTCTTCATTATTGTCCAAAGAACAGTCTTTATTCTTCAGTTCAGCGTAAAAAGAACGTTTCTTGTAAGGTCTCATTTCGTCTTTTTCCTTTTTTTGAATCGGAACTTCAGTTTCGCAAATATGTTTGACCGAATGTTTATTCTTTCTGTATTTTTTCCTCGGTCTCAACTTAGCTTTGTAATTCTGATCACCTATTAAAAAAAGAAAAGAGAATTACTTACGCCAATTTTTTGTATAAATGAAATCGCGAGCTATGTTTTCACCTTCTTCTATACTGCACTCATTAAGCGATTTATTTCTTTCCGTTTCAGATTTTTCAAATTGTTTTGAATAGTTTTTTCTAATCTCTACATCGTTATACATTAGAGCTGGGGTATTTTTGTCCCTCCATGTCAAGTACCTCTGAACTGGATGAGGATAGTTCGGCCACCACTGTTTAATAGAGATGTCATCTGACATTGCGATAGTTTTATATAATAAATAAACTTAAAATCTTATCATGCTTGCCAACGTCTTGGAACAAAATCTGTTAAAGGACTAACAACTAACTGGAACTAACAGCGCACTCAGCACAACCAAAGCACAGCATACTTGCAACTCGTAATTGATTTTTATTGCCAGAGATTAATAATGTGCTGAATATTTAAAACTCAAACTATTTTCTTCAAAATATTACGGTTTCATTTTTTGACATTCAATACCTTACTCTGAATGTTAATAATAATTAATAAAATATTTTGATGATATATTGTGGCTTGTTAATACTGGGTGTTTTTTAAAAGTTGCTCACCCCTATACCTTTTTATTTTTGCAAATAAAAAAAATGAGACTTGAGCATTTTAGTTTATGACATAAAGCAGGATTGATTAAAGTGTTCATTTAGCTTCGGCCACAGTTTAATTTTAAAAATTCATATTCGATATTCGTTCATTCGTTTTGGCACTTCCTCTTTCACTGGAAATGACTACAACTTTTGATTCTCGATTTTTTTTTACTTTTTTTACTTTATTCGTTAGAAAATGACATTCTGAATGGAATTATATATCATATATCAAATTTTCATATTTTCGGTTAAAAATAGTTATTTAAATTTCAATCTAGAGTGTCATGGCTCGGTTCGTAACAAAAAGTTGACTCGGAACGGCAAATATGCGTTGCCAAACTATTCGTAAAAAACGCTTTTTCCAAATATGCTAATGAGCTTTGGACATCTTGAAATCAACCAGGGAAAGTCACGAAAACATTAGACGATCAAATCTATTTTCCAAGACTCCTTGATTAAAAATGAGTGGTTTTATCACAGCCATGGCCCTCTAGATTCAAATTTAAAGTACATACTATTCTTTTAGGCGAAGATGTCAAAAATTGACATATGCCATGTCATTCATTTTCTATCGATTAAAGTACAAAATTATCGTAGATCGTACCATTTAAAAATCAAAAGTTGTAGTCATTTCAAGTGAAGCATATTAATATAATATACCGGATGCGTCTCAAAAGTGGCTCACCCCCATAACTTTTTTATTTTTTTAGATAAAACAACGAGATTTGGTATGTTAGTATATGACATAAATTAAGATTGATTGACATATTCAATTGTTTTCGGTAACTTCCGGTTTCACCGGAAATTACCACAACTTTTAATTTTTAAATAGCATCCTCGGATTTTTTTTTACTTTATTCGATAGAAAATGACACTCTGAATAGAATGACATATCATATGTAAACTTTTGACATTTTCGCATATGGTTTATATGAAATTATAACATGTGGTTCATAACGACAATTTGACTGGAAATATCAAATTATTCGTAAAAAATGCATTTTCCAAATATGCTAATGAGTCACCCTCGTTCCATTTGAAAAAATTGAGATATGATTAAAAATACGATTTGGGCATTTTCTAACTGGCCAGGACAAGACACTAAAAACATTAGACGATCAAATCTATTTTTCCAAGGCTCCTTGATTAAAAATTAGTGTTTTTAACATAGTCATATGGCACTCTAGAGAGGATGTCAAAAGTTGACATAAGATATGTCATGCTATTCAGAGTATCATTTTCTGTCGAATAAAGTAAAAAAATACCGAGGGTGCCATTTAAAAATAAAAAAAATTCTAATCATTTCCGGTGAAACCGGAAGTGACCAAAAACAATTGAATATATCAATCAATCCTAATTTATGTCACAACACATACATACCAAATCTCGTTGTTTTATCTGAAAAAATAAAAAAGTTATAGGGGCTGAGCCACTTTTGAGATGCACCCGGTATATTATATTACTAAATTATTATTACGGGATGAAGATCAATTCTTCCAAAACTAAAGTCATGGTATTTGGAAACCAAAATGCACCAATTCCTATTAAAATAAATGGCAATACCTTAGAACAGGTCTACAAGTTCAAATATTTGGGGTCCTGGATAGTTAACACCTTGAACAACGATGTGGAAATAAAAACTAGAATAGAACAAGCGAGAAATGCATTTTTGAAAATGAAGAACGTCTTCCAGAACCCCAGATTGGACCTTGAGTTGAGAACTAGGCTCGTTAAGTGTTATGTTTGGTCAATCCTATTATACCGAGCAGAAACATGGATACTGAAAGTTCAAGAGATGAATCACCTCGAATCGTTCGAAACATGGATATATCGAAGAATGCTTAAAATTCCATGGACAGCCCATATCACAAATACCGAAGTCTACAACAGGATAGGCAGAGAAAGAGAATTGCTCAAAGACATCATACTTAGGGCATATATTGAGAAATGAAAAATACCACGTCTTACAATTGATAGTTAAGGGTAAGATTGAAGGAAAGAGAGGTCTCGGCAGGAAGAAACTATCTTGGTTGAGAAACATCAGAAACTGGACTCACCTAACTTTTGAAGAACTCATAAGGAAAGCCGAGAATCATGAAGATTTTGCCAATGTGATCGCCAACCTCCAAGAAAGAGACGGCACGTAAAGAAGAAGAAATTATTATTACTGGTTATAATTCAATCGTTATTCCTTGGGCGAGACTTGTTACTTCTTGACTTGGGTAATTATTTTGCAGTTTCTTAAGAAACTCCTGCTTATGAAAGAAACTTACTTGTGCTACTACAATGATGAATAATATGATGTCGCGGTTTCTTCCCTAAAGAATCTGGAGAATATAATAACAAAAATTCAATTTAAGACATCATGCTTTTTTTTGTTACCACCATAGTGGTAACACAAGTAAGCATGTACAGGGTGGGTCAAATTCGAGGCTTTTAAATGGAAACACCCTTTTCTATAGGAGATAGGCGAAAACTAATATCGGTGTTTGGAGCTCAATTTTCATCAAAAACATGATGGTGAAAACCGTATATCAATATCTGTTACCGTTTCGGAGTTACGGGGTGTTTTTCAAAAATGTGCATTTTTAACAAATCGCTGTAACTTTTTTGCTATCGAAAATTTTGTATTTCTATGAAAACATTTCCAAAGCACCTTTTTACGTAGAATTTAATGGTTTAAGTATATTTTTTTTAAAATTAATAATTTAAGTGTTATCAACAGAAAATTTGATTTTTTATTTGGGACACCCCCTATATTTTTAATTAACTGAAATAAATTTAAAATTACCTTTCCAAAAATATAGCACACTTGATATTTTGTTATAATCCCCTTCGAAATACAGAATTTTTAAAAGTTCGCCACTTTTAACTGGCAGGCTTTGGACCCCTTATTGATGATATGCCCTTAATGGAACTCGAAAACATATTTTTCCAGCAAGGCGACGGATGCACCGCCTCTGAACGCTGAAGTTATCAGCAAATTTTTGCAGCCAATTTCAAGAATAATTGAAGAGCTAACCAAGATCCCAGCCGGTGGCCGTCGAGGCCGCCTGACTTAGTGCCATGGATCTAATCCTATGGATATATTTGCGGGAGAATAAAGGTTCCTTATTCTTGCGTATCATCTAGACAAGAATTAGAAATACTTAGCAGTTATGCGAGGGTATCTTTCACCCCCACTGAGTTAATGAATTCCGCGAGAAATGTTCAAAAACTGCCCGGTCTGTCCATAACAGAAGACTGTTGATAAGTCAAACACCTGTAGCAAAATCTCATGTCTTGGTTTGCTATTTATTTTTATTGTTATTAGATATAGTTTAAATGTGTTGATGTTGGTTAAAATTGTTTTAAAATGTTATAAATTGTTATAGAATTCTGCGTCTCTCATAGCAAATATTATTTTCGTTTTAATTGATGCTCACAGCTAGATTTTTTTTGCGTTACAGCCGGTGCCGTTCAAAGCCTACTTATTTAAAGGGGGCGAATTTTTATATACTCTATATCTCGAAGAGGAATCGAGCAAAATATCAAGTGTGTTATATTTTTGGAAAGGTAATTTTAAATTCTTTTCAATAAACTAAAAATATATAGGGTGTCCCATATAAAAAATCAAATTTTCTGTTGATAATTCTTAAAGTATTAATTTTAAAAAAATTAAACCTAAACCATTAAATTCTAGGTAAAAAGGTGCTTTGGAAATGTTTTCATATAAATACAAAGTTTTCCATAGCAAAAAAGTTACAGCGATTTGTTAGAAATGCATATTTTTGAAAAACACCCCGTAACTCCGAAACGGTAACAGATATAAAATTGAGCTCCAGACACCGACATTAGTTTTTGTCTATTTCCTATAGAAAAGGGTGTTTCCATTTAAAAGCGTCGAATTTGACCCACCCTGTACAAGTAGTTACTTAAAAAATCTCAAAATACCAGAAAACCGTACAGTAAATAATTATTCTAAGTTGACAAAAACTACAAGAATATGTACATGTACAATCACAGACAACTTGTCGATTATAAAGACAATTACACTGCAAGTAAACTTATAGAGTCAATTCTGTTAGTTTATAAATTAGCTAGCAATCTTGTTATTTTGATTTTAATTAAAACTCAAAATCATAAATGGTTATTATTCAAACTAACTAAAATAATTGGTTAATATTAAAAATAGCATATAAAATTCTGACATTAACCAAAATTACTATACAGGGTGTCCCAGAAATAAGTGCAGATATTTTAAGTGGTACTATATTTCGGCCCCAGAAAGACGCCTATATAAGTTTTTTTTTGCGAAAAAAAATGGCTGAAAATTTTATATTTTTCTTGACATTTTCCGGCAAATTTTAAAAAACTTTTTAGTGCCACTTGCTTATTCACTTGAGGCGTCGAATCAGTGCCTTCTATTAAAAGATCAGCCTACGGGCGAGATTTATGACGTCACGCTAGTTAGATATAACGGATTAATAAATATGTTGTAGAATACATGGAAAACATAATCATTCCTCAGACTTTTGGTTTGTATTTTAAAAATGATATAGTTTACATGAAATATACATAATATACAGTTAATAACTACAACATATATACCTATTTATAGTAATAAATACTTTGGCAAATAAACTATAAACCATAC